CTCACTCTACACCACCACCCCCCCAATTGGGCCCTGGAATGAGGAGCAGCCTAAGGCACTCAGCTCACAGCCTGAGGTGGGGGGCCAGTTTTGGGTGCAGATGGTCACAGCTCTTTTGTACCTTCCATTTCAGGCATAGGAAGTAGGAGTAATTTTCTTTTCCCTTGGAAGTCGGCTCTGAGTCCCTGTGCCCCTACACCATGCAGTTCAAGATCAAGGGTTGGGTGGGGAGGACATGGGGAGGGCGGGCACAGAGAGCTGTACAACCCTCCACACACATCTGGGCCTCAAGGCCTCGGGGGTTTCACCGCACCACAGCAGGAGGTCGCATACAAGGTCCCGAAGCAGGACGGGGCAGGTCAGCAGGATGCTTAGCTTGACCCTGGACACTTCTCGACCATTCACTGGGTAGAGGGTGCCTTCTGCCTGGCGGGTACAGCTTACAGGGTCCAGGCCCCCAGACTGGGCCTCGTGTCCCCTGCCTGGCAGGAAGCTCAGAGAGGAACAGGCACTTGGACCCTTCTAACAACCTCCCCACCCTCGCAGGAAGCGTCAACTGTCGCCCCAGTCCAAGAGCTCCAGCAAGGTCACAAGTGTGCCTGGTAAAGCCTCAGACGCCGGCACCGCTGCCTCCACGGGCACCAAATCAGGGAAGGCCAGCACGCTGTCGAGGCGGGAGGAGCTCCTAAAACAGCTCAAAGCCGTGGAGGACGCCATTGCTCGCAAGCGGGCCAAGATTCCCGGGAAAGTGTAATGGGCCCCGCGGGCTCAGCTCCCCTGCCAGAGGCAAAGACTATGTGTTTTTATAAATAGGGTAAGCGCAGCCATTTTGGATTTTGCAGTTAATGTCTTATTTTGGCTGTGATTCTTTTTAAAAATTAAAAAATAAAAAAAAGTTTCTCAGCTGGAAAAGAAGCCACACACACATAATGCCAGAGACAGGCAGGCAGGCAGACAGCACCGAGCGAGGACATGGCACAGTTTTATGTAAATTTTAAGTCCCAGATGCCCGGATCAGCCGGCCCATACATTTTTTCTTCCCCATCTTCTCTTCCTCCCTCGGTTAGTCAGGCAAGTTCGCGCCCTGCTGTGTGCCGTGTCCTCACCACACGGCTCTCCTACTGTGGACAGGAACACCTAGTGCTACTGAGCAACCTCTTCCCCACCCCTGCCCATCTCCAGGATCAAAAAAATAAAAATAAAAAAATAAAATATATATATTCTTGACTAAAGTCTGACTGGGAAATAGTTACTGTCTTTTATTTTAAGCATCAAATTGTTTTAGTTGATTTGAAAATGAAAATATACAGAAAAGACCAAAAAAAAAAGGCCATGGGTATTGTTGGGCGTCTGTCAAATGTGGAGGGTCTTTTTTTGAGGGGTCTCCTAAAATAAAAATATTTTGATAAGCAGTTATCTTGCCCTGGTGGTGCTGTTTGCATGTGCCTGGGCTCCACACCCTCTACCCTCCCCACAGCACGGGGCCCGGCCACCTCACGGGGCCCACCTGCTCTTAAGGGGTCCCTGGCTGATGGAGGCTGAAGACATGGAGTTTACCAGAGGCCCCTGTGCCATTGCCTGGGAGCCTCCAACCCGAACAGTAATTCTCACTCGCCTGTTAGCCCAAGCACTCTGCCCCCGGCCCCCAGGGAGTGCTGTTCCTCAGCTTCTTCACAGTGGAACTGGCTCTGGTGGGGCTTTGTGAACACCTTTCCCAGTAGAGGCCCTGGGGTTGCAGAAGTCAGGAAGGATGCTCCTCAGGCCAGGCTGTATCATCCATCCCCAAAGCCAGTTCCCCACTCAGAGCCTTAGATGCGCCAGCCAGTCCCCACACACCACTCCGTCCGTCCACTGCAGAGCAGAAATGCCAGCAGTTCTGAGAGCAGCAGCACTTGCAGTGCCCACCGCAGCCTGGAGCTGCCCCAGTGGGGCCACGACCAGGGCGGGGATGGGGGACCTGAGTGCTCGCTCAGAGTCCTTCCTAGTGGGATTAAACTCAAAGTGGTGCCATAGGCCTCCGGGTGCCCTGCCACCCTCAGGTTATCATATAGCAAGTACCATAAGGACTTGTGGACAAAATGCCCCCCAGAGCCCACGCTGCTGCCCCCAGTTCCAGTTCTGCTTCCCTTCCCCATTCTCTGCCAGCTCCTCAGCTCCATGGCAGTCCCTTGCCAGCCTATAAGGACCCTGCCGGCCAGTGTCAGGCAGCAGCCTGGGGTTCTCATCTGTTGTCTGAGCTGCGACCAGCTTACAGGGTACATTCCACGGCGCCCCGCCCCACAGTTATACAGCAATTACACTGGACAGGAAAGCTTGGAGGGGGCTAGTGTGGGCTGGCCATGCAGCCAGGCCTCCTGAGTGTACTGTTTTCATTTCATGTCTATGCCCCTCGCATAGCACAGGACACCAGATACCTCTTACGTCACAGCAGCCTCAGTCAAGTTTTAAAGGCTTATTTGGTTTGCCTTTAGGTCAAAGCCAAGTGCAAAGGGAACTCCCATTTTCTGAATGAGTAGCTTCCAAGGACACGAGTCAGAACCCAGGACAGCCTGTCCCTGTGAGTTCTGTGCCCCAAGCCGCTAGGCCCTGCAATCCAGCTGGGCAGCAACTTCCCTCTGAGCCAGGAGCCCACAGGTGAGCCCACTACATAGTCTGTCCTCAGCCCTCCTTGTTCACCCCACCAGCCCCTTCTGGTCCCAAGAGGCTGACCTGATCCTGACCTCTAATGCCTCGGCTGGAGCCATAGCACTAGGTCCCTTTGGCCCAAGCTAGATTTAAACTAGGAGCTCACCTAGGCTAGGCTGGGCAGGTGGCTGTCTTGGGAGGAGCGAGGACCACACCCAGAGCCAACTCTTCCTCTCCCAAGGTCTAGTGGAAAGAACATTTCGGATCAGGCAGCTGAGAAAAGGGAGGCCTCTGTTTGATGGGATCCTCAGGCATCTTTGCCCTCAAGGCAATGTGAGGACTGATCCTGACAGGTGGTTACATGCAAATAGTGGGAATAATTACGGGTTTCTCAAGTTCTATCTCTATCCACCAGTCTGCTCAAGTGTCCAGAACATTGTGGATCCCCTTGCCTCCAGTCCTCACTCCACAGCCAGAGGGACGGCACATGCTAACCCCTCCCGCCTGCCTGCCGTTTCTCCCACCCTAGAGCCTTTGCACATGCTGCTTTGGTTCCTGGAACTCTGACCTGACTCATCCTGCTTCCTCTCAGCTCAGGCAAGCTGGCCCCATCCCCTCAATCCCTCCATGCCTGCTGCCACAGCACTGTTCTCAAGTGTAACTCAGGAAGCACTAGGCAGGAAGCTCCTAACACTGGGCCTTCCCGAGGAAGGGGTCAGGTCTTGATTTCCATCTCCCAGCCCCTGCTGCTCCCTCAAACCCTGGGCCTCCACCTGCCCCCTCCCCATTCTCTGCCAACTCCCCATGACAATCCCCTGCCAACTGAAAGCCCCATGAGCAGGGTCATCCTCGCTCAGCAGGAGCGGCTCAGGAGCTCTGGCTGAAGACCAGGCTCTGGGTGAACAAGCAGGGACCCCCCTCCCCACCCTGGACAGCACCCCCCGGACAAGGATGAGGTAAAGAGTCATTCCTGGCAGCGCAAAGTGCTGTGGGAACAAGAGAACTGGGCTGTGTGACTGACCACAGGCAGGGCTGCCTGGGGCTCAGTGGTTGGGAACGCCACACCCTCCAGGGAAGGGGGGGCCAAAGTTGTCACCCCCACTTCACAGATTAGGGAACTGAGCCCTGCTGGTGGGCCTCCCTCCAGGATAGGTGACAACTTCAAGCCTGGAGCCCAAAGAGCCTGGAGCAGACTCCTCTTGCAGGCCCACTTGACTGCTTCTGTCCAGTCAGGGCTGGAAGGGCCCCGGGCCACTGACTGGCCCGCACAGGTCCTTGGCGTGTCTGTCCCTGTGTCTCCTGCTTTGGCCTTCCCGCCTTGGCCTCTGCCTTTCCTCTGCCAGTCTGTTCCTGGATTTGTCTGTGACTCTTTGCACCTGTCTCCATCCATTCCTCCTCCTCCTCCTTCTAAATCTCCTCACACATTCTTCCTACATCTCCATCCTCTTGGTTGTGTGTCTCTGGGACTTTTGGGGGTGTGGCCATTGGGGTGTGGTACAGTGGACGTGGTCTGAGGGGGGTCTTCCTGCCACCCCCTTCAGGATGCCCTCCTGCCTTCCTCTGGCGGCGCCTTTCCAGTCTTGCCCAACCTGGGACTTCTGCACTTGCCTCAGCAGCCCAGGAATGAGGCGCCTCCCCGGTCCACCCTGTGCCCTTCTGGCCTCGGCAGGTGTTGCTGGACCCCTGACTCTCAGTCCCTGGGCCAACTTCCTCCAGGAAACCGGCCTTCACGCCTCTGGGGAACTGTGCTGGGAGTTCCCGGGCCCAACGTGAGGAAGAATGAGTATGAATTCAGGGATGAGTTTCCTCCACCCAGTGCAGCTCCCGCCACCCACCCAGTCAGCTCTTCAGAACAGAAACAGGAACACAGAAAATGCAGACACCCTACCAGATTGGCCTGGGCAGGGACACCCCCTGCTCCCCCTGCTGGACTCAAGCACCCATGCATTCCTTCGGGGTGGGGACACCCAGGAGCCTGGTACAAGCAACAGTTTTACAGCCTTTTCATTTCCTAATTGAGCACCTGCATGAATGCAGCTGGACTTGTCAGCCCAAAGGAAGAGCGCTGCTGCCCAGTGGCCTCCCTCCCTCAGCTCCCTCCGGCTCTGACTCAGCTCCGGGCCTGCCTCCTAGTGCCCCTGCATGTGGGGACATTGTCACCCTGTTTTTCCCATGGGGGAGTCCAGGCTTATCTCCCTTTTGTTAATGGAGCACCTAAGTACCTGGGCAGGGTGTGTTGGGGCCATTGTCCCTGTCCTCAAGGGGCTCACACTACCTTTTGGGGGCAGCAAGAAGGGGCTGGGATTTTTCTGAGACCTCCAAGTGCCCCAGCAGGGAGACAGGTCAGTCCACCCTCAGGAGGGTGTCTCTCTCTTGACCGGACCTAACCGACCTGGTAGAGGGAGTACTGGGCTCAGTTGTGTCCCCCTGAAAAACATGTTGAAGTCCTAGCCCCAGAACCTGTGAGGAATGTGTCCTCATCGGAGAAGTGGGTCTTTGCAGACATAATGGAGGTATGGGTCTGAAACGAGAACATGCTGGATTAGCTGAGTGTCCTGAGAAGAAGACACAGACACGGGGGGAGGGCCATGTGAACAGGAAGGCAGAGTCTACCAACCAAGGACTCCAAGGATCGCCAGCAGCCACATGCAGCTGGAAGAGGCAGGAAGAAGCCTCACTGAGAACCCAGAAGGAACCAACCTGCTGACACTTTGATTTTGGATTTCTGGCCTCCGGAACTGTGAGAGAATAATTTTCTGTTGCTTTAAGCCTCCTAGTTTGTGGTACTTTATTATGGCAGCCCTAGCAAACTAATGCAGAGGGTGAGCTTCCCATTGCAGGAAGCATGCAAGCAGAGGGTGGATGGGTAGGGGCACTGTAGGAGAGGCCATCCTGGGGGACTCAATGCATCTCTCCATCCATTCACTCATCATTCAGAATAATCCTCACCTGCTCCCCAGAGGGCAGCTTAGCCCCGCTTACAGGTGCAGGTACTGAGGCCCAGAGAGAGCAAGTCCTTGCCCAGAGCCACACACTGCTGAATGGAGAAGCTGGGAGAGCCCGGGTGACCAGGGGCCTTCGGTCCCTCCCCTCGGGGGTCTTCATGCCACATCAGTTATGCAGTTTCAAATGTAAAGAGAATGGCAATGTCATGGTATGTACATTCTGGCACCTGCCAGCAGGCAAAGACAGACACCCCACCCCACCCCTGACTCTCCTCAGCTGCACATTTTAGACTCTGATTTGAGACCAGGAGAGACAGGCCCTGAGCCTGGAGAGTGCCCATGGACACCAGCAGCCCTCTCCAGGATAATGTTCAAACCCCATTCAAAACCTTGTAAGATCTGGCTCCAAACTCCTTTTCAGGGTAACAAGGCAGCCCCAGCACCCCTCTTCCCTCCAGCAGCACTGAGTGGGTGGGATGCAGGTGGGCTCCTGGAGCCCCTTACTTAAAGCCTCCTGACATAGGTGCACTGCACTCCAGTTTCCAAGGCACGCCTGGCCTGTGTGCCTGCTGGTTGGAGTGTCCTTCCGTACACCAAGAGGTGGTGGGTCCGTTCCCCTTCAGCCACGTGCACGAGGCAGCCAATCGATGCTTCTCTCTCCCTTCCTCTATAAATAAATAAATAAATAATAAATAATAAATCATTTCCAAGGCATTTTCATCCACTCCATCTCAATCATCTTAGCTTGAACTTTTGTTTAAGAAGAAGGAAGGAAGGAAGGAAGGAAGGAAGGAAGGAAGGAAGATGAAAGAAAAGAAAGAAAGAAAGAAAGAAAGAAAGAAAGAAAGAAAGAAAAGAGAGAGAGAGAGAAAGAAAGAAAGAAAAGAAAAGAAAAGAAAACAGATGCCCAAATACAAGGTGGGCTAAAGTAGCTTTACAATTGTTCATATGAAAAATAATCGAGAAAGAAAGAAAGAAAGAAAGAAAAAAGAAAACAGATGCCCAAATACAAGATGGGCTAAAGTAGCTTTACAGTTGTTCATATGAAAAATAATGCAGTAATTAATAAAGAATAAAGAATAAACTCTATGTTTTGACTACAACTGTAAACCTACCTTTGCCCCACCCTGTAGAAACCTGAAGATGTTCACTGGCCCAGCCCCCCAAGCCTCTCCTGGAACTTCTCCCACCTGTGCAGGTAGAGACAGGCGTTGTGTTTGCCTGACCTTCGTCATCTTAGATGAGAAATGGAACCAACCTCCTGTCCCCTGCCGGCAGGAGAATGCCGTCCTGGAGGAGCGTGCTGCAGCATGGGATGAGCAGGCTCCGCCAGGCACCCGGGTCAGCGGGTCCAGATATAGACATACCAGTGGAATCAAAGCGAGCTGCAGAAGGCTCAGCAAAACCCTTCACACAAAGTTCAAGACTGTTACGTAGGCAGGACCTGTTTTCAACTCCTTCCACAGGTGCTTAGCCTGGGGCAGAGTCCCTCTGAGTGGAGGAGGGAGAGTAATTGGACGTGAGAGGGGGTCTGGAGTGAGGGGTGGGCTTCTCCTTCCCTGGGCTGAGAGGAGGGGACAGTCAGTAGAGACCCACAGGGAGGGAAGAAGGAAGCTGGGGCTGGGCACTTCCCAAGGAGGAAGCAATGGTGCCGGATTTTCCCCAGGTGTGGCCAGAGGTATAAAGGGCGCTGCCAGCTGGCCACGGCCAGGTCTAGCACCTGGTGCACTCCAGGACCACAGCCAGGTGTGCTTGCGACTGCACCCAGCACACACCAGCTGCTCAGAGTCCAGCCGCCACCACGGAGATGGTGAGCCGTCTCTCCCCACGCCCCCACCTGGATGGTGCCATCTGGCCCAGAAGGGTTGGCAGTTCCCTGAGCTCCGGGCTCATGATGTTGGGATGGGGTCCAGGAAGCCCCTCCAAATCTTGGGGCAGGAGGGAGCCAGGACCCAGCAGCTCTGGTCCACTGGGGAGCTTGGGCTAAGGGTCTAGTCTAGCCTCTCTAGGCCTCAGTTTCCCCAACTGTAGAGAGTGGGCTATGCCCTACCTTTCCACAGAGAACAGGGCAAGCCAGGGTGGCAGCGAGGTGCCTTCTTCACTGGGCACCCCCTGACAGCCCACCACCTGTTTCACCAGCTCCTCCCTGGCCTTCTGCTTCTGCTCTGGCTATCTGCCGGCCTGGCCCACCACGGTGCCGCACTCTGGGGAGGTCCCCACAGCCACACCCATGGGACCCCACGCTGCTACTCAGCCGAGGAGCTGCCCCGGGGCCAGGCTCCTGCACACCTGCTGGCTCGAGCTGCCAAGTGGGAGCAGACTTTGCCAGTAGCCCTGGTGTCCAGCCTGGAGGCAGTGGGCCGTAGGAGGTGGCAGGAGAGGCCCCCAGCTGGGACCCAGTGTCCGGTGCTGCAGCCTGAGGAGGTGCTAGAAGCCGACATCCACCAGCGCTCCATCTCGCCCTGGCGATACCGGTGAGGGCTGGGCTCCCTGGGGACTGGATCCCCACGGTGGGCGTTGGGCTGCTCCCTCCCCTTTCCGGCACTGGCTTCCGGAAGGCTCTGCGAGTCTGTTTCACCAGTTCAATGGGATGAGCGTCCTGACCTCTGTCCAGCCAGGGCCCTGTCCCAGAGGGTGAGGCTCCATCCCATGAGCTCCTCCTTGCCACTGTTGTCTCAGATCTTAGCTCAGACCTTGGGTACCAGCGTCCCCTAGGAAAACCGGGGGCCCTCACTTGAGCCCCTGCAAGGGTTGGGCTGGGCTCAGAGGACGGAACGGAGGGAGGCCTCTGAGAGGGCACTGGAGATACGGGCAATCATCACTTACTGGGATCCTGGCAGCCTGACGCTTCAGCTCTCACTCAGGCTGGGAGCAGCCTGGGAGTGTGGGGCAGTCATGGGGTACAACAGGAAGGGAGGAGCAAGCCTGCTGAGGCTCCCAACAGGGCCTCACCAGTCTTTCCCGGCAGTGTGGACACGGACGAGAACCGCTACCCACAGAAGCTGGCCGTTGCTGAGTGTCTCTGCAGGGGTTGCATCAGCGCCAGGACCGGCCGCGAGACAGCAGCGCTCAACTCTGTGCCGCTGCACCAGAGCCTGCTGGTGCTGCGCCGCCGGCCCTGCTCCCTGGACGCATCCGGGGTACCCACGCCCGGGGCCTTTGCCTTCCACGCGGAGTCCATCAGAGTACCCATCGGCTGCACCTGCGTCCTGCCCAGGGTGGTACGGTGACCACTGGCCTCAACTGTCCTGCTGTGCTGTGGGCAGGGATCACATCCCAGACTGGACAGTGGGGATCTCTCTGCAGAGAGGGCCCCTCCTATTTATGTGTATTTATTGGCTATTTATATGCCCTGGGTGGCCCTGCTTCTGCTGCCCAGGGTCCCTGGGCGGGTACCAGGGCTCCACGCCTCTCGTTTGAGGGAAGAACAGTGAAGATTGGGCACGGGAAGGGCCAAGTGACCCTGAGCTAGTCAGCCCCCTCTCCACATCGTTACCTCTCCACACACAGTGGACTAGAGGAATGTTACTTTTCTATAACTTCTTAAAACAACAGAAAATGTGTTCTGATGGCCCCCACCTTGGTGGTCCCTCTGGGATCCCCCAAGCTCCTTTCCCCACCACCCGTGTATTTCTAAAACTATTTGTTGTAAATGTGTGTCATTAAAATGATAAACACCCCCTGGAGCACAGCATCCACGGCACAAAACTGCCTCCTCACCCCTTCTGCCTGGCCCTGGCCCCCAGATGGCCCTGTGGCCCGATTCTGGTGTGTCCAGAAAAGTCTATGTAGGAACCCCACGTACGACCAGGTGGGGAATGAGTTTGTAGAGTGGAGCACAGGTGTGCCCTGCTGGCCCCTACAGTTTCCACCTGGCGATACCCCCTAGCGATGGCTCTGGGGCCCGGGGATGGCCCTCACTCCCACAGCCCAGCTGATGTGATGTAGGCCGGCCCTCCTCTACTGACAGGCCCAAGGCATGGCCAAACCTGTGCAATGACAGTGAGCACCCTCTCCACCCCTGGGACATGCATCTCTGAGGGTAACTCCCAGGGGGGTGGCTTTGCAGCCTGGGTGACTGCCATCACCTTCAGGTATCTGAGTCATGCTCCCCAACCCCAGCAGAGCCCCAGGCAGCTCCAAAGGCCGTCCCATGTCCCAGGCTTGGGCTTCTGTTCACCACTGGTGACCTGCCAGACCAGGGGCAGCCAAGCAGGCCAACACCCCCAGGCCAGGTGCCCCACTAGCTACCTGACAACCCAGCCTGTGCTCTCACTGCACAAGTCCCGTATCTGCCCGTTCAGGCGTGTTACTGCTGGAGGCGTTCAGTTCAGGTTCCAGGAGTGTGGCCTCAGCAGCTGTGGAAGGGGCCCTGGGGCAGCCTGTGAGGCACAGGCCCAGCCAGCTCCAAGGCTGACTTGGGGCCGTGGGGTTTCCACCCACTGATTAATGCCCATTGCGTGAAAGTGCCTGGGAAGAGCCAGGAAGGACTGAGATCAGCACGTGTTTACTGAGCTGCTGTGTGTGGGCCCTGGGAGCAGAGCAGTGAACAAAGCGGACAGATCTCTGCCTGCCCACACACGGGGTGACTGACAACCACAGGACAAGCAGTAAAGTGCTCCCTCAGTGAACAGTGATGCAGGGAAGGGGCAGGGGCTGCAATTCCAAACGGAGGGTCAGGGAGGCCGTGGAGGCCACCTGGGCAAAGGCCGGATGGCCAGCCAGGGATCTGTGTTCCAGGCAGAGGGAATGGCCTGTGCAAGGCCCTGAGAAGGCAGCCTGTGTCTGCGGGTCCAGGGTGGTCAGTGTGGCTGAAGCCGAGAGCAGGCAGTAACTGGGGCCAGGGAGTAGAGTATCTGTCCTAGACTGTGGGAGTCTGTGGTTCTGAGTGGGTGCCAGCAGGTCAACTGCAGTGCTGGAAACTGCCTGGAGGGACAGGGCAGAGTGGGAGGCGACAAGCAGATTTATGAAGACAGAGCCCAAAGGGGGCGTGGGAGTACATACAGGGGTGTCAAGGGGGCCTGTGGTTTTATTGTCCTGGAGGCTGGAGTGGCCATTTCCTGGGGCAGGGCTGGTACAGCGGAGTGTTGGCCCTGGAATGTTAGAAGACCCCCAGTTCTGAAAGTAGGACTTGCTGAGCAGGTGGGGCAAACAGGAGGCAAAGGGTTTAAGGGCTTTTCCAGACTTTGGGGGAGTGAGTGCCCGGGGAGAGCCCATCGAGGAGGAAGGGGCTTCCAGGCTGGGGTGTGAGCTAAAGGCAGGCAAATCTTGGGGCTCCTGGCTGGGGAGCAGCAGGCAGTGTCCAGGAGGACCACAGCAGGCCCTCCTGGGGGCGGGGGGGGGGTATGTCTGGTGTGTATGTTTGCAGCCTCAGGACTGGAGAGGCGAGGGCAGACCTGAAGGCAAGGTGGCACCCAAGGTGAAGGCTGCTGGGCTCCCTGGGGCCTCCCCTTGCTCCCCTGCTTTCCCACTTCACTCAGCTGCTCAGGTGGGACTGGGGGTTCTTGAAGGTGAGTCTGGGCAGATCCAGGAGAGCTGGTGGGGGGCACACACTCCCTCCTCCCAGGCCTGGGAACTTCATTGCCAGAGTAGAAACACAATAGTTGGAATTTCAGAAACTATATTTCATGGAATAAAAGATGCTTGTGATTTCAAGTACCATTGAGAAAAGATAGGCTTCTGGGAATGACACCAAGAGAGGGCCTGTGGTTCCGCAGGGCAGGCAAGGAGGTACCTTTGGGGTCTGGGTGGGGACCCCCCCCCGAAAAGCGACACGAGACAGCAGCCACTCGGAGTAGTTCACACAACCTCATCGGTCACTGGGATAGGGTTTTCCTGGGGGCCACTGGAGACGCCTGCTGCCGCCTCGTCTTCCTCCTCACTGGGCTTCTTGCGGGCCTCGGCTGGGGGCCGGGGTGGGGGGTTGCTGGGTGGCTGCTTGATGGTACCCCCCACCTGCGGCCGCTCCTTAGGCTTGGACTCGATGGGAGTCCACTGCTCACCACGGGTGGCCGCCTGCAGGACACAGAGTGGCTGGGCCCTGGGGGGCCTCTGGGGTCCATCCCCAATATAGCCCCCACCCCTCTCAGGGGACAGGGGGGCCCTGCAAAGAAGAGGGAGCTAGAAATCCCTGGGTTTTGGAAAGACCTCCTGGAGGTCACTTCCAGGAACACATTCCCAGACACCCCCAGGAGCAGGACAGGGAGGTCAGGCCAGCGTGCCCATCAAGCTGAGTCAAGAAGCCAGGCAGCACACAGGGTGGAAGAGGCCTAGGAGGGTAACCAGGGAGGGCAGGGGCCCACTCAGCCTGGAGCCTCCCCGAGGGCACCCAGGCCTGTTGTGGGGTGGGGTGGGGAGCATCACTGACATCCCCATCGCATGAGCAAGGACACAGGCTCCTGGCCTTGGCTCAGCCCACGGGTGGCTGCAGGGACTGAGGTGTCAACCATCAGCAGGGCTGACCACAGACACCACTCACCAGCAGATAGATGCCACTCGCTATGGCCAAGCAGGCTGTCCCCAGGATGGTGGCAAGCAGGAAGCCGGCTGGTACCGACAGCCTGGGGGGAGGGAGAGGATGGGAGACTCAGAAGAGCAGCCACAGGGGTTCTGCAGGGGGTCCAGGTCTTGGGCAGAGGCCGTAAGATCTCAGGACAAAACCGACCGTAAGTGTGCTGTCCCCATGACCTGGACTCAGGGAGCACCTGGCCCTGCCACGGCTGCGCTTTTAAGTGTGGGTCCCTGGAGCTGTCCTCTGCTTGACTCGTACCCTAACAATCTTGGGACCCTTGTGCTTGGTCCAGCCATCATGCTGGGGGGACGCCCCGGCAGCGGCAGGGACACAGAGTGTTCTGGCCTCTGCAGTCACCACCGGGAGCACAACTACCAGCTGAGCTCCATCTACCCCAGAACCCTGACTGTTCCTGTTTAAGTTGCTAAGGTTTAGGGTGAACTGTTACTCAACAAGAGATGACAAGTACAGGTTTGGGGAACCTCTGGCAGAGCCTGGGACCTGGGTTTGTTTGGAAAAACAGCTGGGCTGAGAGGGACCCCACTTGCCCCAAGCGCCCTGTCCAGGCAGCCAGGCCAGGAGGAGGATCTACTCCAGGAGCAGGCGGGGACGGACTCACACAAGGTGCAGGAAGGCCCGGACGTAGTAATTCCTGGTGAGGGGCCCGAACAACTTCACCACTTTCGTCATGTACTTCTGTCCGCTAGACCAAGTGAGGGAGGGAAGACAGACGGTTGTACTCAGCAACCCCACCTCCCACCCTGCCCCAGAGCGCCCCAGCTTCTTTCCTCAGGGACCGTGGGCCACAGCAGCTGTGCAGGCAGGCACCAGCCTTGGTTTGCCCGGGAGGATAAATGGGTTGGTGCTGGAGCTTCGTAGTGTCCTGGGATGAAGCCCACGGCAGGTGGGGGACTCACCATCTCTCCATGGTGGAGCCCTTCTTCCTCTTCCCCCGGGGATACTCCAGCAGGCAGACGAACACTCCTGCTACACTGAAGCTGAGGTTAAGGAACAGCCCAGCTCAGCCAGAGGCGCCACAGTGAACCCCTCTGCTGATGAGAAACAGGGGTGCCGCAGCCGCCTAGAGCCACATCGCGGGCGAACAGCCAGGTGGGATTCGATGGGTCTGGCCACTTCACTGCCTCTCCTGCACCACCCTCCCCGATGCCTGTCTTGGGTTTCAGAGGACCTGGAACAGCCAGCCTACAGGGTGGCTGATAAAAGAGGGTACAGAGAGGATCCCTGGGGGTGCTGACACCTCTCACTCCCTGCCAGCGCCAGACAAGTCAATGCCCTGCTGAGCCCTGGCTTCCAAAACTATAGCTGAGCCTACCCTGCTGAGTCTGAAGGGCCAGGACTGTGCGCAGCAGTCCGCAAACTGTGAAGTGCTGTGCCCCCAGAGGCAGTGGCATCTCTGTTCGCAGCCCACTAGTGCCACCCCTGGCAGTGCCATCCGCCCCATGGGGTCTACAGTGGGAGGATACATGGAGTAGGCGCCAAAGTACCACTGGGTGAACTGGCCAGCAGTGGCCACGATGCCGCCCGTGATGAGGACTGTGGGCAGAGAAGCAGGTTAGTAGAAGCCCTAACCCATGGGAGAGACATGCCCCCACCCCATCCTTGCATGGCTGGGGCCCACGGGCGGCTGTAGCCACCTCCCCTTGTGCTCCCCCTCCCACAGCTGGGCCACCTATTCACCACAGAGCTGCCCTTGAGTCCCTCAACCAGGAAGTGGACCCAGGTGGCTGCAGACGCCCACAGATAATGGAGGATGCTTTCCCCTAGGAAGAGGCACGTGAGCTGGGGGAGGGGAGAGGCTGGTGGAGCTGGGCCCGTGTCCCTGGAGCGGTTGGGGGACAGCCAGCTCACAGCCCTGGGCAGGAAGAGGGGCCTGGACACTCACTCTTGAGCGCTGTGACCCCACCGTTGAGTTTTTGCATTTACAGACTGCACCGCTGACAGCCGATGTGGGGTCTGCTCCATGGATGCCTCTCCTCGTTGCATGGTGTTCCTGTTCTGTCTCTATTCCTGTGTTTCACCTTCCTTTCACTTTTGTCTGATACTGATAATCATTCATGCTTCTTTGGTTAGGACTTGTCAGCTACCCCCGCCCTTTGTTTTCAGCTCTGTACGATCCCAGCGGGCCTTCTCTCCCCAGTAATTTTTTTTTTATTGTGGTAAAATATACATAAAAATTTCAAGAAACAACTCAGTGGCATCAAGTACCTTTACACTGTTGTGTATCCATCCCCAGAATTTCTAGCAATATATATTGAAATATAATTTTTACATACAGTATAATATAAAGGCATAAGATTCCCATCAGCCCGAAAGCTCTCTTGTGCCGGTCAACACTGGGACCCTAGATCTGGCTTCTTTAGCTCAACAGGTTGTCAAGATCATTCATGTGGTTTGGGTGAATCACTAGCTCATTCTTTTTGTGTAGTTTTTTATTGTATGAATCAACCTCAATTTATCCGTTCTTCTGTCTATGGGAAATTTCGGTTGCTTCCAGTTTGGGGCTATTACAAATAAGCTAATATAGCTGAATTTTTAATATTTTAACCAATCTGATAGTGAATTTAACAGATTTCATTGACTGTGATTGCAGATAATTTGAACTTGTTTTATCTTATTTTGTGTTTTCTCTTTAACAAAGGTCCTTGTTATTCCTCTGACTTGATTGAACTTTAATTTTAAATTCTTCTTCCTGAACCACATGTGGGCTTTAGACTGTTTAACTTCAATCTCACTCCCAAATTACCCATTATTATTAATTATTTACAGACAATACTTAGTCACTAATGTCTTCATTCTTGCATCCCAGTCCTTCCTTCTGGATTTAGTTTCCCTCTTGCTGAAGTACATCCTTTAGTAGTCCTTTCTGTGAGGGTCTGTTAGCAGTAACTCTCTAGATACCTCAAAATGCCCTCATTCTGGAATAAGCTTATCTGGATACTGAATTCATGCTGTCTCAATACTAAAGATATTATTCCATTGTCTTCTGGCATCTATTATTGATGATAAGTCTGAAATCAGACAGATACTAATCCATTTTATTCTCTGGTAAATTTTAAGTTCTTTTTTTTTTTAATATGTTTTATTAATTTTTTTACAGAGAGGAAGGGAGAGGGATAGAGAGTTAGAAACATTGATGAGAGAGAAACATCGACCAGCTGCCTCCTGCACACCTCCTACTGGGGATGTGCCCGCAACCCAGGTACATGCCCTTGACCGGAATCGAACCTGGGACCTTTCAGTCCGCAGGCAGACGCTCTATCCACTGAGCCAAACCGGTTTGGCGAATTTTAAGTTCTTTAATGGTCTGTATTTTCATTACAATGTGACAAGAGGGGTTTAAACAAATCCCTTTATTCTGCAAGGAACTTTGTTTTCTTGTTAAATTCTGGAATTTCTCATCCATTATCCCTTTTACATTGCCTCCTTCCACTCTATTCTCTCCTCTGAAACTTCCATTATATAGATGTTGGGTCTTCTTGCACTATTGTACATGACTGTTTCTCTCAGCTGCATTCTGTGGTTTCCTCAGATCCACCTTCCATTTTCTCTTCATCTCTATATCGTGTTTAACTCATCCATTGACCGTTAATGACTTTATATTTTGTTTATTTCTGGACATCCTGTATTAGTCATTTTTTGTTTTGTCCTGTATAATTTTCTATTCTTTTATCTCTTCAAACAGTTTCAAACACACCCTCAAGTTTAAACATGTACCCATATTCTCAAGTCTCTTCCTAATGGCACCAGTTCTGAGAACATTCTCCAGTCTATGGTGTCTGCTTCCTCAAATGGTGGGTGTCTGCGAGCTACGCCCAGCAGGGCCTGTCTTCCTGTCAATCTGTGTGCCCTGGTTCAGGAAATGCCCTTACAGAACAGTTTCACATTTGCTCTATGGGGTCTATAGGCTTCTCCAGTCCTGGGTGGACTTTATCTTAATTTCTTGGTCAGTGGTCCTTATATTAAAGGGTAGGGTTCAGCCCTCACCCCATGCACAGCACAGGTCTGAGTTTCTGGGGGTTTTGTCTTGTGACTTTCTTCATCAAATGGCAACAAATGACAAGCTTCCTTGGATGGGATAGTTTTCCAGTCTGCTCTTATACAGGCAATCTTTCCTAGCTCTTGCCGGAAGCATGCAGCTCCATTTCAGCCCTTTTTCTACACAGAGGCCCCCAAATCCCACTGGGTAATAGCCTCAGTCCGCAGGCAGTCCCGATTCCCCAGGCCTCTTCCTTCCACCCCAGCACAGCACCTTGAAACCTCACTGTCTTTGTTGCCCGATTTCCTATTCTTGGAGTTGAGCTCAACTATGTAATAACTCTTTTGGTTTGCTCATCGTACTTCTATGAGTTGTAAGAAGAGAAGGGTGTTCTCCCCATGTGTTCAGTCAGCCTGTGGTCTACTTATCTTTGGGGATATAATTTTCTCTTTTCTAGCCTGTTTTGTTGCCTGCCATTACCAAAAGGGGAGCAAGATACCACTGGTTGGCCAGGAAGGCATGAGCAGATAGCACTACGGTGTACTGGGACTCTTATAGGTGCAGGGAACTAGACAGATAAGGCCTGAGCTCTCAGGGGGCTTATGGTCTCAGGAGGGAACAGAAATAAACATCCAACACTGCACTAGAACAGGGACTGTGACAGAGATGTCCAGGTGCTCTGGGAAGACTTCTCTGAGTAGGTGATATCTGAACTGAGAAATGAATGGAGGAGCCAGCCATGGATATTTCAGACAGAAGGAAGTGCTTCTGCAAAGACCCTGGGGTATGTCCAGGAGATCCGGGAACAGAAAGGAGGCCTGTGCAGCTGGAGTGACCGTGAAGGGAGGGGGGTAGGGGCAGAGTAGTCAGAATATGGCTTTTCTTCTTCACAATCCACTGCAGTATTTTCCGCAGGAGGTGACATGTTCTGATTAGATGGGATTTTCTGCAATAAAAAAGCCTGTTGGACGCACTTGCTATTAGGGCCTAGCCAGGCCTGAGCATTCCCAGGTGCCTGCAGTTTATTCTGAGTCAGGAAAAAAAGTCAGCAAGAGGAGGAACTCAGAGTGGGAAGGGCCCTGGGAGACCTTCGAACAAACTGCCTTATTTGATGGTGGAAATGGAGTCACAGCTTGTAAATTCTCTAGGACTTGACTTTCCTGTCTATAAAGTGGACATAAGAACAGCTCTGGCCTCACAACACTGAACATTAGCTAAGGCAAGGAAGGGACAACCTGCACACAGTGGGCATGCCATGAGTGGGGATGCTAGGAGGGTCACTATCTGCACCCATTGGGACTGCACCCAGGCCTCTCAGAGAGCTCCCAGTAGGAGCCCTGTCACCTTCTACTTCCTGGGGGTAGAGAAGGGGTTGTGGAGCTGTAGGACAAAGGGAGACCTACTGCTGTAGGTCTGCAGCAGTCTAAAGGCCTCACAGCCTGTGGCAGGCAGGGGGACAGCCTGGGGACAGCTCTGGGAGAAGCGAGAATGATCTGTGCCTGGCTGTGGCTCAGTGGTTGAGCACCCACCTAAGATCCAGGAGGTCACAGTTCGATTCCTGGTCAGGACGCATGCCCGAGTTTCAGGCTCAATCCCCAGTGTAGGGTATGCAGGAGGCAGCTGATCAATGATTCTCTCTCATCATTAATGTTTCTAGCTCTCCCTCTCCCTTCCTTTCTGAAATCAATAAAAAAATATTTTTAAATGATTTAAATAATAATAATAATAATAATAAAAAGAATCATTTGACCCACTGAGCTCTCAGTACTCTATGTTCCAAAAGAGGGATGACCTGCCTGCACACAGAACAGACCACTGAGCCTCACCAAAGCTGCTCACTCCAAAATGTGATCTTACAGTTTGAGGCCAGAGGGACTTCGTTTATGTCTACTCTCTTCCCTCCCAGAGCTTCGCCAGGCTCCTCCAGTCCCCAGCTGGCAGGGGGGGTCTCAGGGTGGTTCTCAGGGCAATGGTGGCGGGCTGGGACCCTGCTCATCACCACGTCCCCCACAATCTTCACTCCCACTAGGTGCAGGTCCTTCCTGGGAGTGGCAGGTCCCAGGAGGCGGGCAGTGCCTCTGGGCAGCTTCCTCTTGCTGCCGACCCTGCCTGGGCCCAGCTCACCACACCTCCTGAAAGGTTCCCTTCCCAGTACAACACGGAGCTCCTGAGCCCAGGCTCGGGGTGCCTGGGGGGCCTGTCATCCTTCCCCAGATGCAGTCTGGAAGTGGAGCTGGGAGGGTTCCCTCTGGGCAGTTTTAGATGTCCTGGAAAACTCAGAGCTGGAAGGGGGGGTGGTCACTCCCCTGGAGACCCCTGGGCGGAAGCGCCACTCCAGGGCAGGAGGGGTGGCGGGAGCAGGTGGTCCCCTCCCAGTTTTCCCAATCCTCGAGGGCGGTGACTCTCCGGAAACCACCCGGGACGACAGCCTCTTCCCCCAGGGCTGCAACTTCCTCTATCTGGAGAGGTCCGAGCGGGGTGGAGAGGTGAACAGGGGACCGCAGTGGGGGGAGGGGACGGGGGCACGCGGGTCAGCAGTCGCAGAAGGGTTCCCGGACC